CATGTATGCATATTATCAGCAAAAACCAGGCTTTCTTCTTTTCTTCTGGCTTTGCTGTAATTTCATTAGTTATTAACAAAGAGCTCACTGACATCTAAGTTAGATGATGAATAAGAAGGTTTAAAAAAAAAAGAAATCACTATTCAGGGACATGAGGTGCTGAAATCCTCATGATTTGTTTCCAGTGGAAGAACCCAAAGTGCTCGGCCAGAATGCAGCGCACCAGCTGGTATCAGGATGTTGGTTATGGAGGAAGAGGACTGGAATGGGGAAGGGTTTGTGGATAGAGATTCTCAGGACAGTGAGAAGGAATCTGGCGATAGGAGTCGTGCTAGAGATGGCAGACAGAAATCAAGGGAGGAAGGAAATGTTGGATCAGGATGCAGCCATTTCCAAGTAAAAAAAATGACGACTGGGCAAAAGCCGGGACATGACCAGCTGGTTTAACTACCCCAGAGGACGAGGAGATATTCTGTGCCCTGGAATTACTAGTCCTGCCAGAAAAAAGTGGTTTTTCTTAAAATTAAAAAAAAAAAAAGTAGACTCACATCATTTGCTAACCTCCACTGAATAATCCCCATGAGTAAGTAAAGGGGAAAAACTAGAGGGGAAAGGCAGTGTGTGGCCCAAGGAGGAAAAATCCACCTAATCCCTTTGGTGTTGGTGTTGGAGGCAAGTTACCAAACGCAGACACCAAGGAGCTTATGGTCAAGTTTTTTTTTATTTCTACTTTTAAAATTGAAAGTAAAATAAGTCATTTCTCACTCCCAGTGAACAAGAGATCTTCTATTGAATGTGCGGGACCTAAAATTAGTTCTCAATAAAAAGGAAACTCCAAAATGGTCATTAAAACATACTAAAATATTATTTTTCTAAGGATCACATGCTTAAATGGTGGAAACTCATTCTGACGCTTAACTAGAAAATATAATTTTTACTTGAAAAGATGATTCCAGAAGAAAAACATGTTGTTTTTTCTACCAAATTTTGAAGTATTATTGAACTAAATATTTTAAATGAGAATCACCATATAACTAAAAATTAGTTAAGTGCAAAAACTTTTACCCTTGATATTCTTTTCAATTTTAGTTATAGTAC